TAGTAGTGCGAGTCGAAAACAAGCGTTAAAGCCTTTAATATGTCTTCAAATATAAATAAACATCTCGTTGATATTTTCAGTAGTAAATGGTACCAATAACAGCACATTTGAGCAATGCAATTGTAGTGGATAAAATGGTCAAATTTTCCGTGCAATACTGTACGGATTATACGCTCTTCATCGGTTAAAAGTTTGACCGAGAGTTGTCTCCTTTCTTTTCTGGCCTAGTGCTGTTCTTTTCTACTTTGCGCCGGTCAAACTGAAGGTCACATCGCTACAGAAACTAAAGGAAGTATACATTAATGTGACATGATACGTATTTATGAGTAAGGACGAAATCCTCGATTTCAATGAAGATAATCCCCCAAAATAGTACACGCGGAAAAGCAGAGAACGTTGACGCCTCTCAGTGTGGCAATTTTTAAAAGAACAACTGTCGCATCCTTATCATTTGCAGCGAGCACAAGTCTTTCTTGAATGTGATTTTCAGCCGCGAGTGAATTTGAGTCGGTGGTTTCGAAATAAAAGTACTGCATAGCTCAATTTTTTATATAGGGTGTTGTTTATGGACTTTGCTTCACGTTTGACGGAATTTTAAATAATAATAAACAATAATCACTGTTAGTGCCATGCAAATTCGTACATCCTTTCGATTTCAAAAACTGTTTTAGGTAAATGTGTTGTGCGACATTTTTTGATCTTATTTAACATTTTTGGTAAGTTTACTTACAGTCACCTGCAATAAGGTAACGCTCCTTGGCAATACCTCGATGGTGTGGAAATTTACCTCAATAAAATTACAGTTATTTAGATTAATGTTTATGTAATTTACATTTTTTTCTTTCTTTTCTGATTTTACATTTAAATAGTTCTGCCTGTAATGTACTTTTAATTTATTTAGTTCCAAAATTATGTGTAGGTGGTATTAAATTGTTTACGTTTATTTGATTATCTTAGACGTTCGATAATCGGCAATGTTGACTTCTCCATCCATGCAGCTGCTTAGTTTTTAGCATACTACGCTATTCGGTATTAGACACCTATGTTGCCAATTCGCGTACAGGACCGGCTTCGGATTGTAAATTATTGTGATCTTCTTGAATTTTTACCCTTAACCACTTTGCTGAACTCACCATACGATTGTTTATTGCATTTGGTTTACACCCTCCAAAACTCGGCACTTATTTCTGTTATACACTGTATAATAATAAGTTAAAACAAATACAGTAAACATGGGCTGTAAAAGTAGTGCATTTAAAAAAGTCAGGAGAGATAGTAGAATTCCTAGTAAAGCGCAGAGAAAGGACTAGTAGTAGTAGGACTATTTTGTGTGATTATTTAGCTGTACATATAAGTCATCAAGATACTGCTGCAAGTATTCATTAGGTCGTCGTTATCAAGTGTCAAAATTTAAGGTTTTATTATTTGGAAAGAGTAAAACGAAGGTTAAAAATTTTTCTGAAGAGGAAGTGATTGATGACAAGGCGACGATTGATTCTTTATACGACAACAAAAGGATCGACATTATTAGTGGGCCGCTGCAGTTGTTTACGTCTTAACTAATTTCACTTTTTTCTTAATTACCTATAAAACATACTACGTTCAAGTTTTTATTCATTTTATAGTCATTGAGCGCCAATTTGCGCATAAATACACAACTGTTTGTTTAAATAATAATATACTAAACAAATATACGTAAATATACTTTCAGATTTGTTTCCCGACCATTTCTACAATGTGCAGTTGTTCCAAAAGAGACCTCAAAATTAGTTTCTATTTTTTCAACACACTTCTTGGGGTGAGTATTTTCCACACACCAGTAAAATATTTTTGTGTTTATAGAATTATTTCTCGCGTTTATCTATCAGGAATAAAGGAATTAGGCTAAGTTATGGTGGTTAAGGTTTCACGTATGCACTACAGGCCACATTTGGTCGGGTTACTGCTGAAATAGCTATAAAAAATTAATACAGTACACTTCTTGGTTTTGGACATTATTAACAGTGATCATACAATTTTTTGTTCTCAGTGCACTTCTTTTTATGTTTTTTTAAAGTCGCCTCAAATTTTTTCGTCCCTCTATCGCATGTCGCTTTAAAGCCAGCCGCGGAGTAGGGGTAAAACTGAAAGGCACTCGGCAGGGCAGTCAAAGCCAATATGGCGGCGCCCATGGCTCGCATGGGCTAACCGTGCAGCATTTATATTCTCACTGATTCGTGCAAGTGCTTTGCTGCTTTGTGTGTTTTAATTGTCAGTTGGATATCTTGTCTACTATTGATTTCCCTTTATCATTCCAATTTTATAATCATTAAGATAAAATTAAGAATTCGATTTTAATTTCAATACCCTAAATCGAATAATCTTCCGAAAATTCACAGTTAAATGCCTACAATCCGAAAAATCGTGGTTTCATAAAACCACACAATTTTATGTTGATGTGCTGTCATTAGATTTTACGGCGTAGTCAGAACATTTTTTTGACCTCTAAAGGTGATGAAACCACAAAAGAGTACATTTTCGAGTCATCTTAAAAAAGACACCCCTCTAAGTTTTCTCCAAATAAAATTTTTATAACAGTACTTTTTTTAGAAAATTGAATTTTTCATCGAAATACTTTAGTTAATTTTGTTTTTACCATTTTTAGTATCGAGCATAATTAAAAAATGAAGCATAAAATTTTAAAAAAGTCGCTGTTTTTTTTTCTTTTCCTTTAAATCGTATAGAACTTCTTCCCTGGGCAATTTAGTTATATATAGTGCAGTCGAAATGAGAAGCAAAGTCCCCAATAAATAATGCACACTAAAGGCATATCGTTTTTCTCGTTATTACAAACGGAAGATATTCTGTCTTTACTCTCTAAACACGCCTCCTCCACAGCTGCGTCGAGACCTGCACCTGCGTTTCATAGGAATCAATCGAATCAAAATGAGACGTTCGACAACATGCTGGTCTTGTCATTTGTACCTACATAAAATGGGCAAATTTATAGGATCGGCTTAATTTAGTTGGTGTATTTGTGCGAATAGTCATCTCTCTACGTAAATCGTTTAAGTTATTTTTTCCTTGTAACTATTGTTGTCTTTGTTTTTGTTGGTGTTATTGTTGTTGTTATTGTTGTTTTTATTGTTATTTTTATTGTTAAATGGTCCGAGAAGTTTTAAATTCTCAGAGTAGAAAAGTTGTTTGGAATGTTATTAATTATTTTCAAAGAATAAAAGAAACAAGTAAAGAAAACATCTCCGTTGGATTTTCTTATAAAAAATACAATGGCAGAATTTCAATAGACTCTTTCAATCTGTTTTGATATACAATAGGAATTATATAAATATTATTGCATTGAATTATCTTAGATCTTACAATAACTTTTTCACCATACTGCAGCACGTCTACTACCTTAAGCCGATCCTGTAAATTTGCTCATTTAATGTACGTACAGACAACAAGACAAGCACGTTTTCAACCGTCTCATTCTATTCAATTGATTCTTATGAATCGAAGGTGCAGGTCTAGACGCAGCTGTGGAGGAGGCGTGTCTAGAGAATAAACGCAGGATACCTTCCGTTTGTAAGAACGAGAAAAACGATATGCCTTTAGTGTGCATTAGTTTATGGGGACTTTGCCTTCTTATTTCGACTGTACTATATAATTATTCAGAGAAAAAATTGGCCTTGAGAATACAAACCCTTCCACCGACGGTAAACTCTTTTCACTGATCCAACTTACGCCGTGTTATACTTGGTCATAGCAATAATTTAGAGAGTCGTTTGCGGTTGCTAAATAAGCTTGTGGAAAATATAGTGTTTTCACCGTATTAAGCTCTAATTTCAGCTCTTAATGTCTGCATAATTAATAACACACCTGGTCGTCTTTGCTTCAAACGATATACAGTAGAACCTCTATAACTCGAACTTCAAAGGAGACGCCAAAAAATTCGAGTTATAGAGTTTTCGACTTGACTAAATTCCTTAAGTATTTATTGTAGGTATACTCCTAAATTGTTTTCTAAGAAACAATAGTATACTTACAATGTCGGCAGATCCTTAAAGTTTAGTTTTCTTCGAACTATAGAATAAGTTTCAAATTAAGTCAAACTATAAAGGTTCTAAAATATGTAAAACATTAATATGTTTGAAATACAGAGGTCCAATTTAATTTTTCGAATTATACAGGGAAAATGTGTACCAAAATGGCTTGCACTGACTCACTGATTATTTCGACTAATAAAGGGTTGAGATTTCGAGTAATAGAGGTTTTGGGGCTTGAAGGAAAAGGAACAAAACATTTTTTTGAAGATTTTCAACTTATCGAGGTTCGACTTAAAGAGATTCTACTATATATTATTCAAAATAATACCTTAAGCAAATTAATGCAAAAGCCTAATTCTATTGGTCTATTTCAGACCAATTCGCTTCGAGTTACGTCTTTGCTTCTCTCTCAAGTCTTTTGGGATACTTTCTACACCCACATTCTCATTAAATATATTATACTTAACAACTACAATATCTACCTTTTCGTTTACAGATTTCTGGGTTAGCCCTCTTCGCCATGTGTGTTCATAGAATGATTGTCATCCCCAAAATATCTGCGATTACACAAGGCGCGGTTGGCAAAATTGAGTTGACGCTAGTAATATCTATAATTACTGCATTAACGATTATCCCCTTGTCATTCAGTGCAAGCTTTGGAATAAAAAAGGAGATAACAGTAATATTAGTTGGGGTAAATATAAAAGCATCCATTTATGAAAATTCCTCCAAAAATAAATTACTAGTGAACAATTACTGGCAGAGGTATGCAGATGTCAAATATTTCTCTAATTAAATATCTTTCTTTACGTTTTGAATATTATATAGGTAATGTAATAGATAGAAAATACCACAAATGGCGCAGTAAACGCCATCTGTAGTACGATGCTACAGTTTAGGATTACGTATGCTTCAACAAGGTTCATTTAAATATATACAGCAGGTAAAAGTTGGTCTGTGTTCTGTCAGATCTGTCTGCGACGCGCTGATGAGATCCAAAAAGATCGAAATCGCGATCCGCATCTGGCAGTTTCGACAGAATACAGACCACTTCGAATTATTTTATTCAATGTAATACATGTTTTCATAAAGAAACCGATGCCTATAATACTTCCCATAGAATCCGGGCTACTTTGGCTTCATTTTGATCTATTTTTGCTGAGAACTATAGATTTATTTTCAGTATTAGCTTTATCCAAAACAACATGTACGCTTGGAGAATAATTTATACTTTTCTATATTTAACAATTTCTTGAATCATTCATATCTTCAGAACAAATTTGATTATTGTTATTGTCTGCACTTGAAAAATGTTTATTTTTAAAACATTGCATTTCACATATAATTCAAGGTAGGTTGCTCAATAAGTGTTGCAGTACGAGACACCTAGCAAGTTTGAGATTGTTCAATTAATCGCAATTATAATACAGCTCATTCCTGAGCTTTGCCTGTTTGTTGCATGTGTAAAACAATAATTTACGTTTTAGAGTAATTACTTTTATTATTATTATTAGTGAAATTGTATCATTATTTTATCTAGTTAATATATCTTTATACGTTTATCGGTGGTATGATTTGAAATATGACCTTTCTTATGAAGGTGAAGGTGCCGGGCAGGCACGGATATATTCTGTCATATTTGAGTCAGTATTGTTCTGGCCTGTGTGCGTAACAGTTTTGCATATGTTGTAAGTGAACACTTCTATTCAACACCTGTGTGGTGCGATTGTGTTGTTTTACCTCTGTGGTAATTTATGCATCTGTGTGGTGAGGATGTGGTTGTTCCGGAGCAGGAGACATGTAGAAAAGGGGCCTTACATACACCCGGTTGGCATAATTTGGCGTTCTCACAGCAAATCATTGGGATGCTGATTACTAGCGCTGTAGTCGGGCGTCTAGGGGAGTCATTACTCGTTTCAATCAGAAATGTACATTTCTGAAGAATATGGTTTACTCTATATACATAGTGTGTCCCAAAAATAACCGAGCTTTATATTTAAGTCATACAACATGCAGTGCCATGTATTGCAAATTTGCAGCATTAAAAAGATACATTCATCCTCTTTCAAACGCACCAAAATTCATTTAAATCGGATGACAGATGTGAAAGTTACAGCCATTTCAATAAAAGAAAAAACGTGCTACTGTTACAAAACAAAAATGGAACAAAGAGCAAATATATAATAAAAAAAATTCGCTGAGACATACGTTTAATAAATAAATAACATTTAATTCTAGCTGACCGTTGAATTAGAATAGACAATTTTGCATAAATATTTAAAAGAAAAAAATATATGTTCTTTGTGGATCCCTCATTCCCTCAATAAAACCAGCTAGCATCGCGTCAGTTGGTGTAAAGAAATGTAACTAGGGCCGTTCAAAGGATGACGATTAAATTATCATAGGTGACGAAACCTGATTATATTTTTTCGACATTCCCAACAAATCACAATCTAAATTATGAGTGTTTGAAAATGAGCCAGTACCGACCAGGGTTAAACAACAGAGATCAGTTAAAAAAAGAATAATTGCAGTATTCTTTGGTAAAAGAGGTCATGTAAAAAGGGTGCTGTTCGATGCATAGAGCACTGTCACTTCTACTTGGTACACAGACATTTCTTTACCTCAAGTTATAAATGACCTGGAAGGGTTGCGACCAATATCACGCTTCAGTACTTGGTACCTGACCCGATCGGGGCTCTCATTGTTGGTTGGTTTGTACGTATGCAAAAATGTATAGACTCTGATGGCATTAATTTTAAAAAATGTTAGTGAATACTTTTGCAAAACTTATGCAGCAACCTCCGTACATACCTACATATATATATGCGTACATATTGTCACCTATTTAAACACCTTGCACTATTACTATTTTTATTTAATTATTTGCTATATAATTAACACTTTTACTATCAATCAGTTATCATTTTGCACCTTCTACTCCGCTTAGCATCGCATCGCCTCGACCTCGTTCTCGTACTGACTAACTCATTCGAAAAAAAAACTTTTCGATGTATCATTCCCACCAACCACTAATGCTAGTTTGCGGGCAGTCCCTCTGGAGTACGCCGAAAGGTAAGGCGGAAGGCCCTCTTCAGCCTTCTTTCAGGAATCGTGGGAATGGGTGGGTGGTGGTTCGGGTGAGAAAGATGAGACGGACGAAATGAAGACAGAAGAAAATGAAACATTATCTGTGGAATATTACTGCCCCAGCATTTGCTTAAGGCATTGACCAAGGCAGATGGATCCGGAATCGAACCGGCGTCCTCCCGAATACTAGGCAATAGTCTAGACCTCTAGGTCATACCGCTTGGTACTCATTTGATCTCGCGACAGCTATTTATGGAGGCTGGCAGTGTTCCAGAATGTTCCAGTATAACCTGGTCTTCTTTGCCAGTATGTATGTTGAGTTGCCACATACATGTGACACTACCCCCTCCTAAAACTGATCATCTCGGTCAGTGAAGTAGCTTCTGTAGGGTGCAAGCGGCCAAGGTGGACGATCTCAATTTTTGCCCGAGAAGCCTTGATGGATTGTATAACCAAACTTTAACGCTTTCATAAAAACTAGCAGAGTTGGCTCGTCGATCGTATCTGGTCTTCATGCAGTCACTTTCAAATCGCAGCTTTTTACGCACAGTGTTATGTATGAGTTTTCTCCCAAATAAAACGCCTCCGTTTATCTCAAGAACAGCGGATCTATAAGCAGTAGCGTTAAACCGTTCAACCATTCCATTAGATTGTGGATGTAAGGGCGTAGCCCTCGTTTTGGCAATGCCCATTAGTTCAGTGATGTTCTTGAACGAAGTCGTTTCGAAGTTCCTGCCTTCGTCGGAATGCAATTCCATCGGCACTCCGTATCGGCCAAATAATGCATTGACGAAAATCTTAAAGTTCTTGATGTATAAGTACAGCCGAACCATTGAGAGGTGTCTTTTTCACTTGCGGCGTACAAAATAAATAAGAACTGCATTCGGCTAGTAAAAGATGACGCTCCGCTCGGAAGAAATATCAAAATCTACAAGGGTTTGGTCACTGGGAACACACTATTTACTCCAACTTTATGTGTTTTTATTGTGTTTATTTGGTCTCCACTATTTTGATTGGATACCAAAATTACAACCGGGTTAGTTGGTCGAGTTCTTAACTGGAAGGCGACCTTAATACAGAACGGCCACCATCCACGTCTTGTCGGTTCAGTCGTACGTTGTCAAGCAGACGATACAGAAAACGAATCATCATCATCATAAGGTCTTCAGTCCTAAGACTGGTTGGACACGTACCTCCACTGTTTTCTATCCTGAGCTAATCTTCGCATTTCTCTAAAACTAGAACAACCCACATCCTTAACTATTTGCGAAGAGTAATCTAACCTAGGTCTGTCTCTACCCCTCCTAACTCCTATTTCTGCCTCTAACAAGTCTTTGACTAGACCTTCATATCTGAGAAGGTGTCCTACCAACCTACCTCGCCTATTTTTTATTGACTTCCCCTCTGTTCTCCTATTCTTTCTAATACCTCTTCATTCCTAACCTTTTCTTTCTAATACCTCTTCATTCCTAACCTTTTCTACCCACTTTACCCTCATCATTCCCTATAACAGAGCCGGGCAAACTCGGCTCTTTTGCTTCCCGAGTGCTCCTCAAGGTTAACCAAATAGCTCCTCATTGATCCTGCGAGTGCGAGTGAGATGATTCATTCCTTTTCTTATCCCTCCCATTTTGTAGGTGAGTCCCCTCTTCCATAGCCAAACCTAATAGTTTTGCGAACGTAGTAACGAAAATTTGCGTAGGTATTTTTTAAGTTGCGAGAGTGGCTTCGCTCGTCTACGGGATGAAGGGGCTTGATATGGGAGTGGAAGGGAGAAGAAAAAGACAAAATTATTCATTACTGCTTACTCTCTCGTACTCATTGAAGGGTATGGAGTGACTCAAACTAACCTCATGAAGCGGCTCCTGCGAAGATAAAGTTTGCCCGGCTCTGCCCTATAACACTACGTTTCGAAAGCTTCTAACCTTTTCTTTTCCGCCGCGCCCACTGTCCATGTTTCGCACACGTACAACGCCGCGCTCCAAACATACACTTTTAACAACCTTTTTTTGAATTTCTAAATGAACCGTTCGCGAGCATAATATTTACGGCTCTGATTGTCCATAACGACTTATTGGGTAAATCATTACACCAAGTATCCAAAAACTATTCATCGTCGGCAGATAGTAAACATTTGAGTTAAGGATCTCATTTTAATCTTTAATTTCATACGAACATGTCGCAATATTGATCACTTAATTAGAACCTTTTTTTAAATATTTACATTTTTTTAGTACAGTTTGACACTGATCGTCCTTTTCATCATCCATGTGATGTTCGCCGCTGTATTATTCGTGAAATACACAGATCATGATGAACACGGATCACTCAAGAGTCAAATGCGAGAAGGACTGCTTCAAAGCTTATCTCTGTATGAACCATCACGGAATGGACAGTTATTTGATTTAATTCACAAACAGGTATTTTATCCAGCAAACGTAGATTAAATAGGAAAGTAGTAACATAAGGGTCATGTGCATGCCTCCGTATGATGTCCCCTAATAACTACCAGGTTCATAATTCACTCAGAAAAATCTGTGACAGAAATTACTAACAAAATACAGATAAGTGTAGTTGCCGATGTCGTATCTCTCATTGACTATAATAAATTCGTAGTATTTAGTGATAGTCTGTAGGTAATGGAACAGAATTCTTCCTAGTAGAATGAAAATTCGGGCTATAGGGCCGTGGTGTAAGTGAACTATTCCGTCAACGCAGCACCACCGCCGAGGATGTCACCCGCAGTAGCTGACGAAACGTTAGAACGGAATAGTTCACTTAGACCACGGCCCTATAGCCCGAATTTTCATTCTACTATGGATTCCGGCCGTGAAAGCTTTTGTTCTTATAGAATTCTTCCCTTTCACCACTGTCATATAAGAAACATCGCAGATTTCTGTGGTGATTTAGGTGCTGCCCATAGTACTTTTATAGAATTAAGTATTAGCTAGTTATTGTGAAAATCTCAAACAGCAGCAATGACATTATGATGTGGGAATTTTAACGTTCACTTCAACAACTAACGAATCATAATAGCCGTCAGATGAACAATATGTCAGCAATCAAAAGACTACAATGACCGGCTGCAGCAATAACAACGCAGTAATATGTATTAGGAAAAAATATGTCCCACTAGAAGTTTAAATTTTAACACTCATTTGAATAATTAACGAATCGAAGTGACCGCTAGTCTGCAACAATACGTCAAAAATTAGAAAAACGTCATATTCGCGCGATTCAGTCTGCTAAGCGATGTGTTGATTGCGATCGCCATTTTTATGCTAAAATTAAGTCCGTATTGCGCATCCAGAGGAATGACCTTGTAGAACACTAAAAAGGTGTTTTTTAGGTGGAGGCGCATGAAGTAGAACTGAAAAACGGTACTTTCACTCTGAGTAAACAATATTTACACATATACAGTCTATTTTAATTTCTTAGAATTGCGCGAAGATAGAAAGAATACACACTAGGCGTCAGCAAGACAGAAATAGTTGGACCAAGCTTGAACGAGTATAGCTCTCGATGGGCGGTCTTAGGAGATCGGCTAGAACTGTACAGTACTAGACGAAAATGTTTAGCAATTTCTTAAAACAAAAATGTATATAAATTAACAATAGAAAAAAAAGCAAAAGTTTTATAGGTGTGTAGAACGTTAAGTTAATTCACGTGTTATTATTTTTGGCTAAATATGCTTTTAAATAAAGCATATTCTTACATTTTAACGAGGAAGTTTAAATAATTTTGCAAATGGTACTGTACACTTTTGTCTAGCTCTCGCTCGATGATCGATGATCGATGATCGATGATGAAGAAATGAGCTACACAGACAAATATGATTGAATTTGGAATTATGCTACGGCGCATCCTAATAAAGGGAAGGGGCATATATGTCTAACTTCTTGAAACGAACAGTATATAGGTGGCGCAAATGACTCCTTAGTTTTTATTGGAAATTTAGGTACGTTGTTAGAATCATTGAGCTCAGTCGAATCAAGTAGATTTAGGAATACGCTATTGTATTAGACTTTTTTAGATAATAGTAGGATGTTGTTGTTTTATTATATAGGTTGTCGTTTAGGAGCCAACTCTTCATACTTATCAGGCTAGATCGTTAAATCCTTTCATCTCATCCGCGTAAAAGGTTAGGATTCTGAAAAATGATAAGGGAGGGTTACCAGAATATGTATCCGTTAGGATTAGTTGCGTTTAGAAGTTGGGGCGTAGGAGATTGAGGTGAAATTTTATGCATATGGAGATGTGAGGGAGGGTTGGTACAATATGTAACTATTGGAATTACTCTTAGTTGATGGTTAAGTATGGATGCAGAAGGAGTATTGCTGAAAAATCGATATGATTATTGTCTGTAGAAATGTACGATCTGATCATTGATCAGAAAAGGGTAGAAGAAGGATTGGTAATGTTCTTTCCCTCTTCTATCTATTTATTGTTATTTTATTCTTCTATCTATTTATTGGTCTTTCATTAAATCTGAGCAACAACCCTCTTATAACTGTGGAGCAGAAGTCTGATCAACACCCTTTTGCTTAGTGTTTCTGAGTTGACTGCTGATCCGACACATTTCCACCCGTTCACTAACACCTCAGCCTTTCCTTTTTATTACACATAAACCAATACTCCTCTTGAATTATTATACATGCCTCATTCCATTCCCTAAAAATTTCTAATAAACGGTTTAGATTAGACTTCATAGAAATACAGCGTTTAACCACTTATCGGATTATCTGGGATTGGCTTATTGATTGATTGAAATCAATAAGAAATAGGCGAGATACATATGGTAGTTAAATAAAAATTAGAAGCAGAAATACGTGTTAGGAAGAGTAGAGGTAATCTTAGACTAGATATAGGGTGCTGGAGCTTTTTGAAAAGTAAAAAAATTGACTCAAAATAGTAAGAAGGTGTTATGATCAAGACAATTATTCTTTTTACTAAAACGAAAGACACCACTGATATCTCAGCACTATGGTAAATAAATATTCAATAAATTATTTGTCAATCGTGTGTTTTATGAAATATAGCATGTAGCAATTCAAATTCATGGACTACAATGTTAATTTCGTTGTTTCTGTGATCTATATCATTGTTATGACATATGACAATACATCACTAAATGCTGCGGGAGGAAGTGAGAAGAAACAACGACAGGAATAGCAATAGCAGCTGCCATTCTGTAATCACTTCGATTGCAGTAACCAGACTTCTAGGAATTCTAGTTTAGATCAATCACCCTGTATAAGATTATCTGTATAATGTTTGACATTAGAATTTAAACCAGTTAGCTACTGTGAGGTATTTTTGAAAACTACCCTACCCACGTATGTGTTTCTATCTGTTTTTTTTCAGTTTCTTATAGAGCAGCATTAAATTAAATTATTTAATATATTACTTAATATTTCAAGGAAAATTATAACAAAACTTCTAAGTCTTGTAGATAGAAAATAATTTTACTAGCTTTATATAATTTTTATTTGCGTTCAACATTCGACTGTCATATAAAACATACAGGAAAATTATTTTTAATGCAATGGACTCTTTAAACTTTATAATGTATGTGATGATAAGGTGCGATACCTTCGGGGAGCAAGTCAAACTTCCACTTGACTGATTTTCAATTTTAGTATGAATGCTGCGGTGTTTACGGACCTCTCGACTGGGGGACACTTTTGGGTAAGGATGCAACTCCAAAATCTTGTTGTAGCGGTATCACCAATGGCGTGTGTTCCATATCAAATGCTTACAAAACAGGATGTCTTGAAGTCATATTCAACGACCAACAAAAACACGGTTGGGCGTTTGGCTACACTTTTATTATATTGTTTCTTCACGAGGTATGTTTTACAAATTTGTGGAATAATTTCTGAAGTGAAACTTCTTTACGCATGGTAGGCTAAGTTCGTTTCATGCGAGTTGCCATGTAACGAAATCATGCAACGCATTTCCCCCGCTGTCTGTCCCTATGTATGCTTAGATCTTTAAAACTACGCAACGGATTTTAATGCGGTTTTTTTTAATAGATAGAGTAATT